ACCTGGGGCAGCACTGGCACCAGACCACACACCGGCACCTGAGCCCCTCACTGTGCCCTAAACCTGCTCCAGCACCCCCACCCTTGTCTGCCACGATGGCTGTGGTGGTGTCACCAGTGCCACCATCACCGCTGCAGCTTCTGCTCAGTGACCCCCCTGTGATGGGGCTCCGGTTGGTACTCGTGGTGCTGGGGTGGAGGAGGTCACACCCTGCTCATGACCGTGGTCCTTTTCCTTTTGGTTCCAGCCGGGGACGCTGGTCAGAGGAAGAAGCAGGAGCTGGCAATTGGCACCAGAGTCATGTGGCACACCTTGTCCCACCGTGTCAGACCACACCAGCAGAACCATGGCCCCTGAGGTGGAGGCACATGATTGATGAGGGGGTGGTGTGGACCCCCGTGCTGGGTCTGTGCAAGATGATGTGTGGGGGGGTCAATCCCACGTGTGTCACCCTCATGTCAGACATGCTGTGGCTGCTCCTGCCCCACTCACTCACTGGACCTTGACGTCATGGTTTAAGAAGTGATAGTGTTTGCTGTGGAATGTACCACAGAAACTACCTATAGCTAAGCTAAGTGATTTAAAGGGATTAACTCAGTTACTCTATAACCAGGCAAGCAAAGTAAAAAAAACAGTGAGAAGGGAACTGAGGCAGCCAGCTAATCAACTGTTAGGATCTGATGATTAAAAGATGCTTCTGCCTGAATTAACATGAAAATGAGACCATATGCCAAAGTCAATAGTATGGATTTTATTTAACTTTAAATATGAAGTAGAGGGAGGGAGGTAGAAATAGGGAGAGAGAGAGACGAGAGAGACAGATTAAGTGAAAATATATCACCACCACATGGATTCTGACAGTGTCTCACCAGGTCCTTCTTCTGGTCTTCTTAGTGGTGAGGGTCCCAAAGTCGTGCTTCTGGGATACTACTTTTATACAGTCAAGTCTTGGATATTCACGGGGCCTGTCAGATGTTCCCAAAACTTGAGATGGCATGGGTGTAAGCAGTTGTTTTCTTTCCACAGATTGCACACTGAAATTTTGTCCGGTGTGCTAATTTCAAACCTTCATTTAGGTCTGGGATTAATGCTTTCTTTTCTCACAGTTTTCCACAGTGAGAATTTTTGTTTGAGTAGGTTACCCAGAACTGCCTTACCAGGCCAGGTTCCCGTTGCTGTCATCTGATCTTGTCACAGGTTCCTGTCCTGGTGGCTTATCTTCTGGGAATTTACCCCTCTGACAGTGTTTTGAGAAAATTAACTGCTTTCTTTAAGTCCTGACAGCAACATCCAGTTACTATATAATGACAGGTGCCTTGTCTTCCAATGTCTGAATTGACCCTTTCCATGAATAAATTCTTCCTGATGTCCAGCCTGACCCTCCCCTGGTACAACTTGAGGCTGTTTTCTTTTGTCCTGTCCCTTGTTCCCCGGGAGTAGAGCCCGACCCCTCCCCACCCTCCCCTGGCTTCCCGTTCCTGTCCGGGAGTTGAAGAGAACAAGAGAACCCCTCTGACCCTTCTTTTCTCCAGGCTGAGACCCCCAGTTCCCTCAGCTGCTCCTGCTGCTCCAGACCTTTCCCCATCCCTGTTCCCTTCCCTGGACATGCTCCAGCCCCTCAGTGTCCTGTTCCTGGGACCCCAAAGCTGCCCTCAGGACTGGAGGTGCCCCAGCAGTGCCAGCACAGGGGATGGGCACTGCCCTGGGCCTGTGGCCACACTGTGCCTGCTACAAGCCAGGAGCCATTGGCCTCTTATCCACCTGGGCACACCCAGGCTCATGTTCAGCCACTGTCACCAGCACCCCCATGGCCTTTCCCAGCTATTTTTTACTCTGCCCTAAGCCTGGAGTGTTTCGTGGGGTTGTTGTGATCCAAGGGCAGGACCTGGCACTGGTCTCTGGGCAGGGGCCTCACTTTTCTCACAGGGAAGAATTTCTTCCCAACATCCCATTTAATCCTGCCCTCTGTCCATGGGAAACCATTCCCCCTTGTCCTGTCACTCCAGGCCCTTGGCAAAAGTCACTGGAGCAGGATCAGGTGGGTTAAAATAAGAAGGAAACTCATGGGCTGTGCTAAAACCACTTTAATAATTGCAAAGAGAAGTTAAAATCTTAGAAGGGAGAAAGAAAGCCCAAAAGAGAAGCAAATCCTCCCTTTGCCCCCCCCCCCCCATGACCCCCCTCAGGTGCACCCCAACACCCCAGCCATGGCTCAGGGAGGGCGTCTGCTGGGCTCATCCAGTGTCCCCCTGCAGCGGGGGGTCCCCGTGCCCCCCGGCCCGTCCTGCCGTCCTGGTGACACCGGTGGCTCCGTTCCTGACCCCTCGTCTTGGCCGGACACGGTGGCAGAGGTGACAGCGGTGTCCTCGTGGCTCAGGGGGTGCCGGTGGCCACTGCCAGGGCCAGGGCTGCCAGGAGGAGCCCCCTGAGAGGTGGGGTGTCCCTTGGGACACTGCTGCCTGTGGGGGCAGAGGAAGGGAGTCAGAGGGTTACCATTGACTCCCTACTTTCCACGAATTAGAATAAAAAGTAGAAATCCCTCATCTTGGGGTGTGGATTGGCTCTGCCACTGGGAAATGAGCCCATTGTCAGGACAACACCCTGACACCCCCTCCCGTCCAGTGCCGTGCAGTGCCAGGAGAGCAGCTGGAGCTGTGTGATGCCCAAAGCCCCACCACCCCCATCCCCTGCCCCACCACCATTGCCCCTGTCCTGGAAGAGCTGGTGCCCTGGTACCACCCCTGCCCTGTCCCCACACCTGACCGCGGGTGTCCCCACCCCAGGGATGTCACCTCGGAGCCACGCGCAGTCGTATTTGCTGTACACGCCGTGGGAGTGGAGCTGGATGTGGGTTTTGGCCCCTTCACGTGTGATACTGGTGACATTAAAGGTCTCAAAGGGCGGGATGAGGACTTCCTCCTCCTCAGGGTAGTTGGAGAAGTTCCGGATGTTGGCGCCATGGCAGGTGTGCACCTCAAATGTTGTGTCAGTGCCATAGGAGTCACTGACGTTTCTCAGCAGGGAGCTGGAGGCAAACTGGCCAAAGCGAATGATCTTGCCACGCTCAGTGATGAACCGGATACCTTCAATACCCCGGTACACCTGGAGGCAGCGGGGGTGGGTCTTCTCATCCCGCAGGACTTCCACGGCCTCGGTCAGGAGGAAATGCACCACCTTGAAGGGGAAGTTGCGCAGGTATTCCTGGCGGGAGCGCCCGGCGCTGCGCACGGCCTTGTTGAACTCCGCATACAGGCCCTCCTCCATTGAGTACGCCATGAGGGCAATGGCCTGTTCCGGCCGCAGCCGGGACTCCACCAACTTGCGGCTGTGCAATTTGACGGTGGCCTTGACCCAGGCCTCAGCGTAGTCGCTGTTGGTGGCAAACTCAGTGCGGTTGAGTGCCCTCACCGCCTTCGCCATTTTGACGCGGCAGCGCAAGTACCGGTCGTCGAAGGAGTTGGGGGCCATGTTCAGTTCAATCTCCCTGAGGGCGCTGTTAAGGTCTGACCAGCGTAGGGGGATGCCAGTGGCCGGGGTGACAGCCAGCAGCACCAGCAGCAGTGGCAGGAGCTCCATGGTGGGCAGAGACTCCCCAAGGACCCGGCCAGGCACTGTGGGGACGCAGCTGGGGCCGCGGCCGCTTCCTCTGGGAGGGCCTGGGGAGGTGGGGAGGGGGAGCGGGGTCAGCCCGGGGAGAGGGGGACACC